GGAGATTAATTACCCCAGAAGTAATCATTTCATGATAAAGGTCATTACCTTCTCTGGTTCTTTCTCCAACTCCAGCAAATACGGTATATCCGCCATGGGCTTTAGCTATATTGTTAATAAGTTCCATAATCAATACTGTTTTCCCCACACCAGCACCGCCAAATAACCCAATTTTTCCTCCTTTCACATATGGTGCTAAAAGATCAATTACTTTAATTCCTGTTACTAAAATATTTTTCTCAGTTGATTGGTCAACAAAAGCTGGAGCAGGTTTGTAAATTGAAGAAAAATTAGTAGTATTAAAATTTCCTCGCTCATCAATTGGATCACCAGTTACATTCATTATTCTTCCAAGAGTTTCTAGGCCAATAGGCACTTTAATACTGTCGCCTGTATCAACTACCGTTTGGTCTCTTACTAAGCCATCAGTTGGATGCATAGATATACATCGCGCTATATTATCTCCTATATGTTGAGCTACTTCCAATATTACTTTACTGCCATTATTATTACACTCGAGCGCATTTAAAATTTTTGGTAAAGAATTATTATCACTGAAATGTACATCAACGACAGCTGAAATAATTTGGACAATTTTACCTGTGTTATTAGTCATATATTCTCTTCAATAAGTTCAGTCCTTATAAAGCGCCAACGCCTGCAATAATCTCAACTAGCTCGTTAGTAATTAGGTCTTGTCTCGATTTATTAAGCTTTAATGTTAAATTATCAATAAGCCCATTAGCGTTTTTGGTAGCATTATCTATAGAAGTCATTCTAGCCCCTTCTTCACTAGCTCTACTATGTAGCAGAGCATAGTTAATTTGTGAGAATATATAAAGCTTAAATAAGTTAAATATTAGGTCGTCCCCTTCATACTCATAGCTTAAATATTTATCTTCTTTACTGGTTAATAAGGTGACAATCGGGAAGATTTGTTGCTTAGAAGGTAACTGTACCATAGCATTTTTACATTTATTAAAATATATATGACAACTACCAATTTCAGTAGTTTCAATCATATTCATAAGCCTTTCTATAATTTTTAAGGATAAAACACTAGTATGAAATTTTGGAAAATCATAATAACTATCAATATAAGATTCATACTTTCCTTTGATAATATCATACCCTTTTTTTCCT